TTATGTTATACTTATTATGTAAAATAATGATAATAAGTGCATAGACAATATTATATGTATTAATATTATTTGTATATTTATTTAAATTATTAAAAGAATTGTGACACATCTAGCATATATGAGTTTAAAGATAATTTCATGCTTATGTTGTCTTTCTTTGACTATAATCTGCATGAATGCAAGGCTGCTTCTACCATTATTTTAAAAGCCCTCAGTAAAAGCGACTAGTTGGGCTTAATTTATACTTATATGTCTGTGTGCTTGTTTATTCATTCTTTTATTCATATGCCCAATATGTCTTTGGCATATATTTTTTTTTCCTGGAGCTCTTCTAGGCTAAGGAAATTTAACAATGAACAAAAACTTGCAATTTTGAAGTTCATATTCCACTGGGAAGAGACCAATGATAAATCCAAAATAATAAAAAAAAGCAAATAATATAAGATGGTGGTATTGTGGAAAACCATTTATTTATCAGATTACAAAAGAGGGAATGAAGATAACTATTAGTTGCCTCCCTATGAATATAAAGCATAAGTACCAGAGATTTAGGTTGTGATGTAACAGTTACTAAAAATGGTATCAATTATTTAAGAAATTTGCTCAGTCTGCTTTGGATAGACCTATAGTATACCTTTAAGTATAGCGTTACTCAGAGAATGAGGCAACTTACCTACATGTAAATAATTTTGTGACTCTAAGAACTGAGTGATATCTGTAGACATTATTTGTCATAGGTCAGCAATGTTTTTCTTCCATGCGCAAAGGCAAATTATTATAGGAAACTAAATAATATTGCTTTGAATTTATTATCTGTCTATATCTACCTAAGGGAGGTAAGATTAGATTTAGATTAAATTTCATTTATAGTAAATGTAGTTTCCTTTATTTGGAAGAGCATTTTTATTTTTTTCCCTACTGAAGCATACAGTTTCTCATTGTCAAATATAACATATTTACATTAGTTCATAAAAAATATATTTGAAATATTCTTCCTACTTCATATTTGCAATCAATTTCACAATATTTTTCTCCAGAGTTCCTCTCTGCTAGGGATATCACCAGCATCCTGCTACATTAGCCAGGAACATGTCATCATTCCACATCTCTAAATTTCTCACCTCTCTCTATAAGCCACAGTCAGGTTAAACGAAATATACCTTCAATGGACTCAGGTTCTACCCACCATTTTCTTTCACCAGCAGGAACCTGGTGTTCAACCTTTTCCTTCCTCCTTTAAGCTTTCATCCACATTATAGCAAGTGAAATTTTCAAAGCTTTAGTCTAATTGTGTGGTGACTTGGACAAAAGACCAAAGGAATGACCAACAAGTTGTTCATGTATCTGTAGCCTGATGCTCCAGTCTTGTTTATGGCATTCTTTCCAGTGTTCTTTTCTTTTATCTTTATGACCATGCCTCATCCTATCATGCTGCAGGGCACACTGAAGGACTTCCTCTTATATGTTATGCTTTCTTTAGTATTCCTTTGAGCTTGTTTCTTCAGAGAGCTTTCCCTGACTGCCTACTCTTCATCTCCCTTAGAGTTCAGCTCCAGCGTAATTTTACATATTTCAAAATTTAATATTTTAAGATAATTTAATATGTGACCCTTTACAAACTAATTTGAGGTATCAGTTAAAGCATATCAACAGTTATAGTTGGATTAGGTGGCAAACAGACTAGTTTTCATATTAGTGATACATGGAAAGGTGCAGATTTATAACTACTCTTGAAGTTTAATTGTACGGAGCTGCCTATTACTAGAAGAATCCACGGTGGACATTAAAGTATATACTTGATTTTGGTTACCTAGTTACCCTGGCTGTATACTTAGGAATATCTGTTGGAATTTTGGAAAACTTTGAAGAAAATTTCATAATAGGATAAACTTTAAATTGCATTCTTACCTATAAAAAAGAATATCCAGAATGATTTCTCTGGGTTTTATTGTCATCTTACATTTAGACTATTTAAAAGAAACCAGTTTCTCTAACCTCCTTACTAGCTAAAAATTCTATATATTTAGATTGGCAGAATATTTTATGGGATGATTAGAAATGGACTCAGAAGATTTTGTGACCCTTGCACACTTCATGATTTAATTTCCTTAATTTCCATTTCAATGCTATACATCTTTCCTGGAGCATTGTAACTATGAATCATGGAAGAAAATTTAGTTGATTCTGTATTATTCAACCCTACAATTTGGCAGTGAGAATATTTTTTTCCCTAAAAAATGACTCATTTACAAGGAGACTTTCTGTTAACATGGAAAAGACTTAAATACTGTCAAAAGTCTTTGAGATGGGGGTGGGGTGGGTATTTATTTGGACCTGCTAATTGCAAAATGGCAAAATTACTGTTGAAAATACAAATAAAAAATCATGTGAACATTACATTTCTATTAAAAAAAAGCAAAAAAAGTACATTTAGAAAAATAAACCCAGTTAGCTATTTGAAAAACCTTATCATTTTTACTATTTAAGGGCATTTTCTTGTTATAATGTGCCCTGCTTGAGTCAACTAATGTTGTTATTTTTTCCTTGCTCTTCTTGGAAATTATTCTGTGTTGTAATGTTTCTCCCCATTAACCTTTAAGTCCAAAATTGTGTTTGTGAATTTCATCCAATTTCTCCTGGTGATTTGCCCTGGGATCCCCAGCTTGGTTATGGTTTTGGTTTTGTTTTACTTTGTTTCAAAGCATACTTCCTCTAACTTCTAAAATAATTAATTTTTTTTGTACAACTAGTTTTTAAGAATACATTTCATGTAAGTTAAAAAAGAAAATAGTAACCTGATGCACATATTGTGGGAGGCATTTATTACTTTTGTGTTGCAAGACAGCAAAAACAGGCTACTGTAAGTACACTGAGACCATAAATACCTTCAGTTTTAGGTTGGTGTGACTGTTTCAAAGGGTTAAAATCCTATCAGTGGTGTCTGTTATCCTGATGGTTGTGGAAAGACCAGAATAACATTCTACAGAAGTGTTCTCATGGTTTTGCACAGTTGTCATTAAGTCGGAAGAAGAAAGAGGTTCACATTTATTGAGTTCGTATCATCTACCAGACAAGTTTACCTGTGACTCCTTTTGTTTCTTTTTAGAAGTGAAAAGAATTATCCTGATTTATGGTAAGAAATTGAGGCTAATGAAATCCCACAGAAAGTAAAGGGAGGAACAAAGATTCAGCCCCCAGATTTTTCCAGTTTCAAAATTCATTGTCTTTCCACCTCATTTTGTTGCCTCTCAGGATTTGGGGATTTGATGACTCTGCCTGAGGTCACATTATGAGTCAGAGGTGAGCTGGGAACACAGTCCAGGCCATCTCTATGTTGCTTTAATCCAATAAAATGTGATGCATACAGTATAGCAAATGCATCACATTAATTCTCTGAAGAGGAGAGACAGTGTGGCAGCTTTTGATCTTCCACAAGATTAACTTTCTAAAAATCTGGTAACAGAGATATGAGATTTGGCTTAACTTTTGAAAAAATGTGAAAGAAAAATTATGCAGTAAATGGTAAATGTGAACTTTTCAGATGACCAATCATTTTGATAAATAGCCAATCTCCATGGTAACTTTCTTTTGAGGAATTCTATGAAAATTCTTTTCCTCTGGGCACTCAGAATTCTAAGCAATTTAAAAGTAGTTTGGCAAACCAACTTCCTTCTGATGAGCCATCAATAATAGGACATCTGATCCACCAGTAAGCGTTTTCTGATATTACTGTCCTGTCAACTCAATAGTTCTGCAACACTGGGCCAGATACTTAATCTTCTGTTCCTCACTTATGTGAAGAAATAAATGGGTTTGAAGGAAAAGATGAAGTGTGATAATAGAAAATCCCATCATCCTGGAAGTTACTAAGCGTATTTAAAAAAAAACAAGAAATGAAAGAATTGTTAAAGGGGAAAACAATGATCTGAGACTGATCTTTCTGAAACAGGCATTATTGTTGTTGTTGTCAGTAGAGCAACAATGAACAGTAAAAGGAATATTTGAAAATTTGAATAAGAAAACAGATTTTGGTGTTTCTAAAATTATGGTTAAAAATGTGATAACAAGTGAGCTGGTGAATATAAAGACCCTTAAATAGCAATATGGAAATGAAGGTTTTCAATTTAAGAATAAAGATAAGATACAAAGATATCTGTGTCAATACTCCTAACAACAGAAAGCTGTATGCAAACAGTAAGACAGGAGGAAGCTGAAGTATGAATAGAATGGTCAAAAGATGGAACCTACAGAAGAGTTAAATGTGCTGTCAGGTGCCAGGTGATCAAGTCAACCTGACTTTGAGCTTGGGAAACTAAGAAAACTGCTCAGAACTTACAAGCTTGATTGCAGTTTAGTTACCATGTACTGAGTGAATAATTTTTTGCCTATCTGAAAAATTGTGCCATTTACCAGGGGTCTAGTTAATGAAGAGATATGAAGAAGCAGTGGAGGCAGAAGTGATCCCAGTCTCAGCAGTTTTTACAACCTTTGGGGCTTGGGGGGTGGGGAGCATGTTACAGCCACATTCTTGGTGTTAACATTAGCATCTTTCTGAAGTGAGCTGTCCAAAAGCTGTTACAGATTTACTCTGAAGAATCAATGTTATCAAGGTTTAGTTTATTTCCAAGGTTATCATTAATCTCTTTAAAAATGTATTACATTTATTAATCTTCCAGTCTTAGGTGTTTTTCTCTTGAATATATTTGTAGTGTGCCAAGCATTTCTTGAGAATCTGTAAACACTGGCTCTGTATTTCCATGCCCAAACATTTTTAATTGAAGCATATCTGGATGTTTTTATTAATCTAGAGATATTTAAGACCTTTCTCCTACCTTTTAAAAGATTCCTAACGACTGAAGGGTAGTAATTCCTTATTAAGCATTTTAAAACTGTCAGCGAGTGGAGTCTTGGGTGTAAGAAGACAGGAGTGAATCCTGAAATGAGGGTTGCTATTTCTGAATGTAATGAAATAGTAACTATTTCTTGTTACTTGTCTTTAGGGATATCAAGGAATCTCAGGATCACCAGGTGTTCCAGGATCCCCAGGGATACAAGTAGGTAATTTTTTAATATACATTTTAGAAATACAGTTTCCAATTACCAAAAATCATTATTAACAATATTTTACATTGTGATTAATTTAGGGAGCTCGAGGACTACCTGGGTATAAAGGAGAACCAGGGAGAGATGGTGATAAGGTAAACACATACAAACAAAAATGTATACTTCCTCTTAGTCACTTAGGGCAGACAAAGAAGTATATCTTTGGTAACTCTTATTCTTTCTATTGACCTTGGTAAATTCCAAGACTTGGGGGCTCAAAACTTTGTCAGTGGCCATTGGCTGAATAATACAGACAGAAGGCTTTTATCAGTAAATGAAAGTAGTTATCATTAGATACCCAATGTCAGATGAAACAGGTGCTGGCATTGCCCTGATGCCATATTCTCTCCCTGTGGTGAAGCTCAATGTAAGCTCCTTGTGGTCAAACTACCTTCTTAGAGGTTAGTGAATTGTATGAATGGAATGTTACTTGTTAGCCTCAGAAAACCCTAGTATCCATCTCCAGTATAGGTGCCAATCTGGCAGGTGACCTATTGGCTTAACTTTACTAGACTTTTCTCTTCAGGTGTCTATTGTATTGCTGACTCTCTTTTTTTACAAGTCTGAGATATGCTAAGCTTCCTGTTGAAGAACATGGCTTTGAATGTCAGTAACTAACTCCCTCTGGATCCAAGAAAGCCTATTGGCCCTGGTAACTGGTCTGCAAATCAGATACTCATTTATATTTGCTCAGACTCCCATGCAGATTTGTTGGCTTAATTCCTAAAGCACAGTAAATTCTTTAAAGACATTTTTCTGTTTGTTCCTGTAAACACACACACACACAATTTGTATTAACTTGTATTAATTATAAAATTATTACCTTTTTAAAATAATGTACACAGCATTAACATCTGAGAAACACTAATTTAGGCTATGTTCATGTTTCTATAGTTGCTTATGTTTGTGCAGAAAATTATAACTGTTGAAATTTCATCTCTGGAGTCTGATAAATTGCTGCTTTTAAGCTATTTGATCTTTGGAATGATACTGAGTATCTCTGAATCTTTCTTCGTTGACACAATATTGATTTCCTTACTGGTTTATCAAGGGGATTAAGTGAAATAAAATATGAAAAATACTTAGCATGGATCCTGGTACAGTTTTTCTTTAATAAATGATTGCCATTTTATTGTTCTGTTTTGTTCATTAAATAACATGATTGCAATTGGGATGTAGATTGAGGTGGTTGTGGTGCCATGGGCAAGACATTGGTTAGAACAGTCATCAGGGCAAACAGGAAACTTAGTGACTGGAAAAGAAACAAATAAGATGAAATAGGTCAGGGCAGCTTTATAAGCAGGAAAGGGTTAGAGGAAGTAAAACAGTATGGCCTTACTTGGATAATTCCTGAAGTATAAATACTCTTCTTTTTTTTAAATAATTTTCTTTTTTTTGAAGATTTATTTATTTATACAAGAACTGGGGTACAGGCCAGAGGCGTGGGTGGGTGAGAGAATTCGCCAGTGACAGAACGGGGAACAGAAAAGGCAGACTGACTGAAATACACTGCTGAGGGGAGCAGCGGGCGAGACAGGAGAGGTCTGCTGCACCATGTGGGGATCTCCCTGGTAGGCTGCAGAGGCTGCAGACAGCGCTGCGCTCAATCCGCTACGCCACCGGGGAAGCCCTAAAAACTCTTCTTACCTGCCGAATGGCTGTGGGCAACTAAGAAGTTTCTGCCCATCTAAATGATGGAAAAATCTTCAGAGCCCATAGGGAGGAGGCCAGACCCACAGGAGTGGGAGAGATCTTTTATTTTTTTTTTTTTTCGTGATTTCATCAGAGACAACCTGACCTCTTCCAGGTGAGCAGGGGATTCCACTAGGAAAGTGAGGAAATCTGTCTGTCGGAGATCCTGTGCCAGACATCTCACATACATTCTAGTCTACAGGATCTTTACTATTTCTTTAACATTCTCACAAATAGCCTGAGTTGGTAATTGATGGAGGGATGTAAATAGTATGAATGTGTGAATGAATATATCTGAATGGGTGAATAAATAAATTTGGGTTTTAGAGACCAGATATAAAAGGGGGAAGACTATTTGCTCATCTTTAGAGATGAGCTAGAACTAGAGTAAATTTTTTTGGGGGGAGAGAGATTGATTTATTTAAAAATAAAGGAATTATAACAAAATTTTTTTAAGATTTTTTTATTTATTCATGTATACAAGAACCAGGGTACAGGCAGATGTCCAGGAGGGTGAGAGGATTCACCAGAGGCAGAGTGGGGAACAACAGGCAGACTGACTGAAATACACCACTGAGGGGAGCAGCAGGCGAGACAGGAGAGGTCTGCCTTGCCATGTGGGTATCTCCCTGACCGGCCAGGATTGAACCCACGCTGCAGAGGCTGCGGACAGCTTCACAGCGCTGCGCTCAATGCCTGTGCTACCAGGGAGGCCCAAGATATTAGTCATATCTTAAAGTAACTGCTCTGTTGCTTGGGGTTATTGTGATTTCTTTATATAGAAGTATGTGAATTTTATAAAGCCATACATTTTCTCAAATATATATATATATATATATATATATATGATAGGTGTTTATGTAAAGGTATCTGTTTTCAGCTAGTAATGATTTCATCCAGAGTTGATTGTTTTCTGAATTGCATTAATTGACAATAAAACTCTGGTGAGACACAGTCATCGTGGGTCTAAAATCATAATCACTATATGCTACCATCTAAGTCCCTATTTACATTCCCTGTGGCTTCAGAATTAGCTAGTGTGATTATCTAGAGTTAAAATAATACAGTTAAGTTAGCTTTTCCTTGATTCTTCCTGTGCAACATAGTTTGTTAGCTTTTAGAATTGATAAGGTTAAAAAATAAACCTTTGAGTTGGCCTTGACTTGTGACTGTCCAGGATATTTTTTCCAGGCATTACACAGTGATCTTTGAGAGCTTGTTCCACACAATACTGTTCTCCATTAGGATATTTTCCCAGAATAATTTTCATTTTGTGGATTTTCTCCCAAAACTTCCATAGTAGGAGTTTCCACTTAAGATGATTAAAATTAGATGTATTTTCTTGCTGACTTTAACATTTGTTTTTCACATGTCAGAGACTAGAATAGATTTTACAGGGTTTTTCCCTTTAATTTATAAAATTAATTGAGACACTTATCCACCAAATGAACTTCAATATGTAATTCTTTTTGTAATAGGCTTTAAAGCTACCCCTGGAAACTAAGAAATACCTTACATATTTAAAAGCACTTCAATTTTAAGGAAACATAAGCTTTCTAAGAAGAAAAGAAACTATAATCACCACTATGCCTGCAACTAAAATAGTAGGATGCACATAAATATTTAAGTATCAAAACATCTCATAGGTGACATTTAAATACAAGCCTCAAATGTTCGAAGGAAAAAAATATCTATACTTCTATATGCAGATGATCAATAAGAATAAAGATATCTTCAGAAATCTAAAGTCCCTGAAAGTTATCTCCTATGAATTCCTTAACTAAACAAGGGAATAAACACAATCAAAGAGAACAATAAATCTATATTGAAACAAAAGAATGTTCTAGGAAATGTTTATTAAAGATCATGAAGTTTTCTCTGTAAGTATATTTAGTATATAAGTGTATTTAGAAGTAGTTCTGATAATTGGAGACAGTTTGGGTTTCAATATTGCAATAAGTTTACAGGGAACTAAGTAGTCTAAATTGAAAAAAAAAGACAAATTTGAATTCTAGGAAAATAAACCTTTGAGCAGCAGGGCAATCTGTTTGTTTATATTTATAGCTCTGAATCTTAATGTTATAAATACAGAGTATTGATTTAACCAAAGTTGTAATGGAAGATTAAGAGTTTGTGCTTCTTAGCCATGGAGGTGGGATGAGTTGTTGAATGATGTGAGGTTAATTCTCTTCTTGTACTGTGGGAATTAGTAAATGATGCTGAAAACCAAGTAGTGGTAATGTAACCAAGTAATTTGGTGAATGCATAGCTAGGAAGTTTAGAATAAAAAGAGAATTGTATAAGCCTTGGATAAACTGTATCACTCTTTAAAATGTGAATAAAAATATTTACAAAAAATCAAATTTTAAAGAATTATATCAAGCATAGAAAACTAGTTCCTTAAACTTTCTCCCTACCAAACAAGCTAAGAGTATAATTACTTGTATGCACTTTGCCTAAATAGAATTTGCTTAAATAGAAGTAAGCCATGCCTGTTACTGGTCCTCTCTTTACTGTGTTTCACAATTAAGATTTTGAAGCTAAGACAACAGCACCCATCATTTTTCCATAGAATTAGGTATGAAAACTATGTCTATTATATGTCATACTGTTAAGATTTTCCTTCCTATTTCACCTTTTTTAAGCTAATGTAGGGATTTTCATCCCCATAGCACTTATTAATAGATACTTACTATGAACAATTCATAGGATTAGCAATTAAAAATTTTGTAGAAACTAGAGTGTGTTGAGATTTTATTTATTTTATTTTTATTTTTTGTTTGTTTTTGTTTTTTTAAAGATTTATTTATTTATGCACACAAGAGCTGGGGGAACAGTCCAGAGATGCGGGGGAGGGGGGTGGTGAGAGGATTCACCTGAAACAGAGCGGGGAACAGAACAGGCAGACTAACTGAAATTCCCTGCTGAGGGGAGCACTGGGCGAGTCAAGAGAGGTCTGTCACGCCAGTGTGTTGAGATTTTAATTCAGGGTCTGTCTGTACTGAGCTGGATGAGATCTCTTCAGAGAGTGTTGTCATGAAATCATTTCATCAGTTAACTCTTATGCCTCATTATTATAAGATAGAGTTATTTTCTGAGTAAGTGACTGCTCTCTAAGAGTGGGATCAGAATTACTGATGAAGTTCCTCTAACCCCCACATACTTTCCCTGTTTAGTCATAAGTGAAACTGATAAATGGAAATTCATCTTTCATAGAGATAAGGCTTTAACATATTGTAGATATGCATTTTAATGTTTGCAGATTTATTTCCAATGGAATTTTAACCTGGGTGAGGTTGAAGTATATGTGATGATATTGTTTTTAGCTAAAATGTTTTCTCTTTAATAAATTTCAGTTTTATTTTTAGGGTGATCGTGGGCTTCCTGGTTTTCCTGGGATTCATGGAATGCCAGGATCAAAGGTTGAAGAACTCTGTTTCTTTTAAGCTATGCAATCCATATTTTACCTCTATTCGAGAATACTTGATGTTATAAATGCATTATAAATAAATGTTCATATATAAATTTAAGATTAATATATTAAAGTAAATAATTAGGCTAAGATTAACAGTTTACATGAAGTTTAAAAATATTTCTTTTAAAATTTCTAGTTATTTGTTTTATAAATGTTATAATATTTAAAAATTGATGAGTAAATTTCACAATGAAAAGCTTTTGTTAATTATAAATCCTATACTCTAGTTTTTTAATAGTGTTTCTGTCCTTACATTTCTTTTTTTTAAAGATTTATTTATTTATACATACAAGAACTGGGGTATAGGCCGGAGAGGGGGGTGGTGGTTGTTAGAGGATTCACCAGAGACAGAATGGGGAACAGAACAGGCAGATTGATGGAAAGACACTGCTGAGGGAAGCAGTGGGTGAGACAGGAGAGGTCTGCTGATCCATGTGGATTGTTCCCTGGCTGGGGATCAAATCTGTGCTGCAGACCCTGCGGATAGCTTCATAGGTTGCGTTTTAACCCCTTGTGCCACCACAAAGGCCCTGTCCTTATATTTCTTTATACAATCCAGAAAATAGGACCTTTTTGAGTAAACTTTCAATTATTTTACTTCTACTTAGTGATGTTGACTTATTAAACTTGTTTATAATTGATGGTAATTTTTTGCTAGGGAATATTTCTCTCTAACTCAATTCTGTATTTTGTCTTTTAGGGAGAAATGGGCCACAAAGGAGATAAAGGGTCACCTGGATTTTATGGCAAAAGGGGAAGTTTCAGTCATAAAATGAAGTTTCCATATTGAACTTTTAGTATTTTTGAAATAGAAATACTGAGTTTCAATTCCAGCCTACCATTATAGCAATTAGCTTTGTGTTCACCTTTCTTAGAGGATTTATTCAGAACAATGATAATGGAAAAATAACTATAACTATTGGGCACATGGTATTCTGGAAGAGTACATTTCATTATTGATTGTTCTGACCTTCATAAATATTTACAGTTTCCTTGGGAGTGGTAGTTACTTAGTGGTGTGCCCATTGAGAATCAGTGTTACAGGCCTTGGTATTTCTTTCACATTGAAGGAAGATAATATTCTCTGTATGTTTAAAACTCTTATAGCTTTTAAATTTTGCTAATATGTAGTTTCTATGTTTAGGTATTTATAATAATTATGTATCTATTTTCACTATGTTCCCTGGCCTGGTAAAATAAGATTTTGTCAAAAGTTGCACAGCCAACACACCTGTACTTCCATGAATTCTGTCCCCACATAATGAGGTTCAATTTTTCACTTTCCTATTTAGTTGGAATTTAAAACATTATTGTTGGGATTGTTTTCATAAGTGTTCATTTTTAATACAGGGTGCAAAAGGTGAAAAGGGTAAAGCTGGTTTTCCTGGCATTCCTGGACATGCTGTGAGTTTGATAGAAAACTTTCTTAAGTATTTTTCTTTAAATAAAAAAGTATCTCATATCTTTCTTGAAAAAGAAAGATTAAAATACATCTATTTATATTTCAGGGAGAACCAGGAAGAGATGGAAAGGATGGATTAATGGGCAGTCCTGGTTACAAGGTATTTATCAAAAAAAAAATAACACCAAAAATATTTCTTTAACTTATGAGTGAACATTGGAAAAAGTACCAATATTAAACATTATTTTGCATGCTGCACTGGTTAAGAAATTAAAGAGCAAAGAGTTGTTTGACTGTAATTTAGAAATTAAACTAAATTTCTTTTGAGTTTGTTGTGAATTAGTAAAATCCCAGAAGTTCAATAAAGATTGACCTTATTTCATGATCCATTCACATGGATTTGTTGGGCTAGTGACAGGCAAAGATTCTTAGGCCAGTGTCCTGAGATGGAGGAGGGGGCGTGGAAAGAAAACTGAACCTTATCCTGACACCTTTATCAGTTGTGTAGAAGAGTATGAGAGAATTTGAGCAAGGGGAACTGGAAATAAAATGCCATTCACCACTCCTGAAAAATCTCAAAGGCTCATGCTCTGATGATGTTGGATTAGCACTATTATATTTTTCCATAAAGAAAGGTTTTGGGTTATTTCTCAGTTATCAAATAGATGGACAGCCTATATAATAGGCTTATATTTTTTGAATATTGACTCTTTACCAGATTTATGATATGCATATATTTTCTCCCATTCCTTATGTCTCTTTGCATTTTGTTTTTTCCCTTTGTTGTTTGGAATTTCTTGGTGTGATATAATCCCACTTGTCTTTTGTTTTTGTTACTTGTGCTTTTGGTTCATGGATTTTTTTCTTCTATGTATGGAAAAAAAAAACACGCTGGGATTTGTGTAGGGTGCATTGAATCTGTAGAATGTGGTACTATGGGCATCCTAACAATATAAAATGTTCCAGTCTATGAACCAGGGATGTCTTTCTAGTTATATGTGTGAGTGTGTGTGTGTTCTTGCTATTTTTTTTTCCCTTAGCAATGATTTCTAGTCTTTCAGATCTTTCACCTCCTTAGTTCAGCTTATTCCTGGGTAATTCTACATTTTTCTTGCCTTTGCAGTTGAGAATTAAATTCATTTGTTTTTATTAATTTACTATTTTTTTTGCTCTAGATATGAAATTATATATATAGTTTTGATTATTGCTTCAATTTTACACTCTTGATTTTAATGTTGAGGTCTCTGTTAACATTATATTTTAGAAATTCTGCATTTTGGTTACATTTCACTTTTTTTTAGGAGTTGTTTAAAGGTTTGAGGATTTTTTTCAGGTTGAAAGATTTTTTTATTTTGATTGTATTGTCAACTTCTTGTCTTATTGCACTGTATATAACAGTATATTATTTGTAAAATTTCTAATTTGTGAGATTTATTGAATTTTTTCTTTTATTATATGTTCAATTTTCAGGAAAGTTCCTTGTGCATATGAAAAAGTAAATTTATATTTTGAAAATGTGAAACTCAATATACATTCAAGATGTGATCTATAGAATATCTTGCTTAGCTCTTTTGTATACTTAATTTTGGTTTGTTTGACCAGTCTTAGGCACAGTAGTATGTTGGTATCTTATTAGTACATTTCTATATACTATTTCTATTCTTCTTTAATCTCTTGTTTTTTTGAAAGACTTATTTATGTGTATAAAAACTGGGGTGTAGCCTGGAGATGCAGGAGATACAAGGATTCACTGGAGGCTCAGTGGGGAGCAGAACAGGCAGACTGACTGAAATATGCTGCTGAAGGGAGCAGTGGGAGATACAGGAGAGGTCTGCTGCACATTTGTGGGTTAGCTCCCTGGCCTGGGATGGAACTCAGGCCCATACATTGATAGCACTAAAACTTAACCCCTAGGCCACCAGGGAGGCCACTTTCATGGCTTTCTATTTATCCTTTCATCTTCATCTATATCTGAAAGTGGTTTTATGTTATTTTTGCAAAAATATTCTTAGTTGTTACATCTTCATTTTGAATTGTGGCTTTAGCATTACAAAATTGTAATTTTGCATATCCTTTAATAATTTTTAGCTTGAATTCTTTTTTTTTTTTTAAATAGAGGCATGTTTTATTTATTTGTTTGTTTTGTTTTGTTTTTGTTTATACATGCATTGGGTACAGTCAGAAGCGACGAAGGGTGAGAGAATTCACCAGAGCCAGAGCAGAGAGCAGAGCAGGCAGAAGGACGGAAGTACACTGCTGAGGGGAGCAGCGGGCGGGCAGGAGAGGTCTGCGCGCCATGTGGGACCCTCCTCTGGTGGCCGGGGAGGAGTCAGGGATGGAACCGGCGCCGCAGAGGCCGCGGGCCGCTTAGCAACCCAGCGCTCAACCGCAGCGCCACCGGGGAGGCCCAATTTTTAGCTTGAATTCTAACTTCATTTTTATCAGAATTACATTCTTCCTTTCTGATTATTTTTATTTGCTTACTGTACCTTTGCCCATTCTTATTTATTTAGCTTTAGGTTCTGAATTACTTTTAGTTGTTTCTCATATCAATCATTTCTTTCTAAAGCAATCTAAGATTTTTTTTCTTAAAGAGATTAAATCTGGGCCTCTCCGGTGGCGCAGTGGTTGAGCTCTGGGCTGCGAAGCTGTCCACAGCCTTTGCAGCACCGGTTAGATCCCCGACTGCTGGGTGAGGGTCCCACATGGCGCGCAGACCTCTCCTGCCACGCCCGCTGCTCCCCTCAGCAGTGTGTTTTATCAGTCTGCCTGTTCTGCTCCCCACTCTGGCTCTGGTGAATTCTCTCACCCTCCCGCAGTTCTGACTGTACCCAGTGCTTGTATAAATAAAGAAATAAATCTAAAAAAAAAGAGATTAAATCTATTTTTATTCATTGACTGATAGATTTGAGCTTACCTCTATTATAATTCTTGTAATTTTGTTACATGTAATAAGTGCATTGTGCTATATTTGCTATACTTGTTTCTCAGTGCAGCCTATTGCTTTTTCTTTTTAATTTCTGTGTGATTTAGGAAGAATTTTTTTTCTTTTAATGGTCTTTGTAATTCCTTTAGTCGGCCATAATAATATATTTCAGAATTCTCATAGCCCCCCCTTCGACTTATTGAGGGATCTACTATTTGGTTTGTTAACATTAATGATATTCTCTATCATCTATGTGGCAATTAATTTAATATGTTTTATTATTTCTGTTATCCTTATTTTTTCCAATCAAATTGCTTCTACTTTGGCAGGTCAAATAATATTTATAATCTATTTTCCTGTTCCTTTCCCCACCTTTTTTCAGATTTGCAGTTAAATGTATTTAGTGTTCATCACCTGTCCTTTTGCCCATGTTCCATGGTCACTGTTAGGGTCTGGTGAAATTTCTTCTCTGGTATGTTCCTTAGGAAGGGTTTGTGAACACTGTATTCCCTGAGTGCTTTTATTTTAATATTTTTCTTCCTATATTCTTAATACTTGAACAAACCATTCGGTTAACTACAAAGCCCTTGTCTGTCTCACTGTTTTTCCTTGTATTTCTTAGAAATGTTGCTCCACTGCTGTCAAGTATGTTGCTGATGCTAACCTAACTGGCTTTCTTTTCTAAGTGGCTTTGTCTTTTTGTATGGAAGCCCAGAGGTTTTTAAAACTTTACATTTAATGTCTCAGAATTAAAGAATCTAGTTACCAAGAAATCCTTTTGGTAAGATCCTTGGAGCTTCTTTAATTCTCAAATATTCTCTTAGATTTTAGTTTTAAACAAAAGTTTGGTTACATTGTTTTGATTTACTTCTAAAGACACCAATTACAGATACATTGAGATTTCTTTGGCTGTCATGTAACACTATTACTTTCTAATTCTTCTGTAATTATTATTGTCTATGTTGAGTTTTTGCCTGTGATTTTTCAAAATTTAAGTTATAACTATCCAACTTGGTGGTTTCTAGTAACTTGATTTTAATGTCAGATGATTTTTATGTTCATTTTCTTTCCTGAGTTAATTTAATGCTTATTTCATATCTTCCCCTTTTTTGCATCTAAAAATGCTCATATGATGTTAATTCAGGTTACAACATTTTGTTATAATTTTCTTCTATTTCATGTTTATTTTCATTTAAAGGAAACTTACTGAAATATTCCTGTTTTTCTTTTAGTAGTTTTGTTTGGATGTTTGCTAATAGGCAAGAATATAAATGTTTAAGTGGTTTATTTGGCTTCTTAATTATAGAGCACCTCATTTTTTCTGTCTTGAAGTTAGAACTGTTTTTAATTGGGTGAATTATTTATTGGACACAGTTTAGCGTGTCTTCTATTGGGGAGGTGGAGAAATGAGAAGTTTAATGTGCTTGTTTAATATTCCTGCAGTGCATCCAAGACTCTAGTTCCAGTAAGTTGTCAGAGCCAGATGAATAACTTCATCTCACTGAAGAGGGTAGGAATGGGATACTAAATAAAGTTGGAAGGGATTATTTTATACTGGATGAGGGACACTTGTTTTACTGTAAAACACAAACAAAAGAATGACTGGGTACAAATGCAGGGAAGTGCAATGGTCAGGTGGCAGGATGTTTGAGTTCTGTTTTCTCTAAGGAAATGGCAGTCATCATCTGTTGAGAGAGGAAAAAGACTTGTGATCTGAGAAATTTTTATATAGCTATGTGGAAAGTGTGTCAGAGAGGACATCAAGGAAATTGAAAGCTATATTGAAATCTAGTTGAAGCTGAAAATTATAATCTATATGATACTATTTTTTTCCCTCATAGCCATTATCATAGGACAGGTTTGTTCTGAAGAGGCTTTTGGTTTGATTTGCTCAGTATTAAGATTAGAATTTAAGAGCAAGGTAAGCAAGTATAATTTTAGTTAGAGAGGAGCTGAAATACTAAAATGTGATTTTAAAATGGGGAAAAGAAGTAAGCAAGGAGAAGACAGATTATTACAAGATACTTAATTTAGTGAATACTTACTGCATGCCTGGCTCATTTCCCAGCATTTTATGTGCATTTTTCACATTCATCTCATAAATCACTTTGAATTACAAGTAAAAATTTTTAGTCTTTTACAGATGAAGAAACTAAGGAACGGAGAAATTAATAATTTGTTCAAGGTCAAGTAGTATAATTTAATAACCAATGAAAATTTATTTCACCAAGTTC